AATGATCAGGGCATGTTTGGTATGCAAGACAGAAACTCTTATTCAGACATTTTCTCCTCACACACTTCCAATTGTGTGTGAAAAATATCTGGAAAGAAGATGGTAACAACTGAATAATGGGGAGGGGAATGGGGGCATTTTTGCAGTTTGACAAGTTTATTGGAGAACATGCTTAACACAAGAAATTTGTACTACTCCCATTCCCAACTTTCAGGCTATTTGTACAATTCAGGGATGGTCTCAATACTGCGTCACTGAACGGGGAAAACAAGTCAAGTAGGTAGAATTTTCTCTTGGCAGCAGACACTTCTTGGCAGACACTTTAACTGTGAGTGACTTATTTGCAGTAGCTTGGCTGGGTGTGATTGACATGGGATTAGGCTAATCTTTAGTTTCAGGAAGATGTGAAGGGGTTGGACAAGGGATGATGGTTTTTACTTATTTGTTGGTTCTATAGCTGTGGAAATGTTTGACATGTTTTCAAATGCTAGTGGTGGGAAGCTGAACATGAGAGCACAGTTAACTAACTTTCCCTTTGAGAACAAAAGCTGTTGGTGTAATGGGAGAAAAGACTGGATTAGCCCTGGTGCTATTTCCATGTGCTTTGCAGTTTTATATGCAGTGGATTCCTTTCTCTTTCTTATGTTTGCTTGGGGATTCCTGGGAGGTTATTGTTGTTCCTTTGCAAAGAAATACTCCTGCCCTTTTCTTGCAGTGTATTTGGGAGAATTTTCAAATTGGTCAACACAGCATGTAGCACCAGGACTTTCAAACGTTCATAATCCACAACCTGGGAGCAGGGAAGTGGGGAAACAGAAAGAACACCAGCTCTAACCTGTTCCACACCTGCTACTACTTTACTCCTAATTCCTTTCCCCCCCACTCCTGATCACCCACCAGCACTTCTGGATTCTTCGTATCACCCTTTGATTTTTCAAGGGAGCAGTGAAGTACAGTGGTCTTCACTGGGATCCCCCAAAAGGGATGGATAAAGATCCCATGATCTACTGCCGAGGGCCACAGGGTAGGGTGCATATTCCCCCGCAAACTTTATCTTCAACCCAATGCAGTGAATTAAACCAATGGAGCATCTAACTGGCCCAATGCCATACAACAAATTTACGTGCAAACCTAGCTTTATAGTGAAGTCAGTGCTACTGTTCCATAGACATAGAAGACATTTGCATAGGTATACAACAATTTTATATACAGTTGAGGTGACAAATAGATTTAAGGAATTAGACCTGATACACAGAGTGCTTGAAGAACCATGGATGGAGGTTTGCAATACAAGAGGTAGTAACTAAAACCATCCCAAAGAAAAGAAAGACAAGAAAGCAAAATGGCTATCTGAGGAAGCTTTACAAATAGCTGAGGAAAGAATGGGAGTGAAAGGCAAGGGAGAAAGAGAAAGATACACACAACTGAATGCAGGATTCCAGAGAATAGCTAGAAGAGATAAGAATGCTTTCTTAAATGAACAGTGTAAAGAAATAGAAAACATTAGAATATGAAAGACCAGAGATCTCTTCAAGAAAATTGAAGATATGAAGGGACCGTTTCATGCAAAGATGGGCATGATAAAGGATCAAAATGGCAGGGACCTAACAGATGCAGAAGAGATTAAAAAGAGTGGCAAGATTACACAGAAGAACTATAAAAGAAAGAGCTTAAAGTCCCTGATAACCACGACGGGGTGCTCACTGACCTCGAGCCGGACATCCTAGAATGTGAAGTCAAGTGGGCCTTAGGAAGTCTAAGCAACAACAAGCTAGTGGAGGCGACAGTATTCCAGCTGAGCTATTCGAAATCCTAAAGGACAATGCTGTAAAAGTGCTACACTCAATATGGCAGCAAATTTGGAAAACTCAACAGTGGTCACAGGATTGGAAAAGGTCAGTTTACATTCCAATTCCAAAGAACGGCAATGCCAAAGAATGTTCAAACTACCGCACCACTGCACTCATTTCACATGCTCTCAAAGTTATGTTCAAAATCCTGCAAGCTAGGTTCCAGCAGTTTGTGGACCAAGAACTACCAGAAGTACAGGCAGGATTTCGAAGAGGCAGAGGAACTAGAGATCAAATTGCCAACATACACTGGATCATGGAGAAAGCTAGGGAGTTCCAGAAAAAGATCTACTTCTGCTACATTGACTATGCTAAAACCTTTGATTGTGTGGATCACAACAAACTGTGGCAAGTTCTTAAAGAGATGGGAGTACCAGACCATCTTATTTGTCTCA